TATTATTGTTATTATTATAATATTATTATTATTATTATTATTATTATTATTATTATTATTATTATTATTATTATTATTATTATTATATTATTATTATTATTATTATTATTATCATTATTATTATTATTATTATTATTATTATTATTATTATTATTATTATTATTATTACTATTATTATTATTATTTTATTTTTAGTAGTAGATAGAGAAATTGTGAGAAAAGAGAGTGTGGATATTAATGAGGAGAGAAGAGAGAGAGTGTGAATATTAATGAGGAGAGAGAAATGAGTTGTTGGAATAAAATATATAGGTTAGTAGTAGGTTTTAGTAGGTTTGAAAATTGAAAAAAATATGAATAGTGTATTTTCAATAGAAATTTGAGAAGAAAAAAATGGGAATTTCTGGATAAAATTGTGAAACAAACATGATCTCGGTTTTATGAATAGTATAAAACTGGAAAGTGGGTTTGGAAATGAAACCAAACATCCCCTTAATATGCATATAGTAACATTTACGATTTTATTTTAAAGTTTAATTTCCTCAATTCAATTAATCAATCATGTGTTTAAAACGAATGGTAGATCAGAGAGGGGGGCAAATTACGATCGATTTATAAAAAATGATTCAAGTTTTTTTTTTTTTATAAATATTAATGAAGTTTATTTGCTATAAAGATGAAACGTTATGGAGGAAGTGAACATCAAATCATCCGATTAATTTGAATTTTTTTACATGTGTTATTTTATATTCATACATCTCAAAAAATATTTCGGAAGCACTGCCCCTGAACCCCCATAATCTTTTTAGTCCATAATTCAAATTAGATTGTAAAGAAATAGAACAATAGTGTTTTTAATTAACTTAAATTTAGTCTCAATAATTAAAAAAAAAATCATAAGTATATGAAAAAAAAAAAGAACAAAAAAAAGGCAAGGGTGTGCAATTGTACACCCTTGCACCACACTGCTCCTATATCTTCTTCCACAATAAAACTAGTTTCTAAAGGCAATAAACTAATGAATAAGTAACTTATAACTTATAAGACATCATAAATTTAATATTCCCAAGATTAAGAAAATAATAAAAATAGCTAATGATCATTGATTTTAGATTTAATTTAGAATCGAGGTTCCCAAATATTATATATTATAAATTTGAAAAAATAAACAAGTACTAAGATATATATATATATATATATATATATATATATATAATAATTGGAGGCCTAAATTTTCGTAAAAAACGGGGGAACCCTAGGCGACCGACTACTTCGCCTCCCCTCAAAATTGACCTTGCCCCTTTATATCATTTCAGACATTCTTTATATCCTCCCAACATAAGTTCTTCATTTTGTTATTTTCCCGTTTACCGGTCTTAATTCGACTGGAATAAATGAGATTTTTTTGCAGAAATTAGAAATTTTCTCAGTTTTGCTAAAAAAACATATACATATAGATATATAAAAAAGGGAAAGAATGCATTTAAATGATAATTCGATGCCCATATCATGTACACTAGCTACATTGGATCCATTACACTATTCACATGATCAGCACATGAGAATATAATTAAATTCACATGAAATAGAAACTATAATTTTCAGAAAGTTTTCTTTTTTAAGACTATTGGAACTTGAAATTAAAATAAATAATAAATAAATAAATAAATAAAAACAAATAGTAGATTATATACTGTCCACTCCTTTCTCCCTCAAAAATTTAATGAGGGGATGCAATTTGCATTCTTACTCAATTGCCTTATATTATAAGAAATAATATATTTTATATGTACAAATGCGTGATTAATTAATTAAATAATTATAATGATGTGTGTCATCTCTAAAGAATTAAATGTGACTTAATTAGGTAGCATTGAAAAATATTGAAAATGTGACTTAGGTGGACAAGTCCCTGTTTTAGTATATCATCAAATTAAATTAATTTCTGGAGTATCCAATAAGTCTTCTTTCCCACCCATATACACTGGCTATGGGTCTTCTCTAAGTCCACATAAATGAAATTTTTAATATAAATAATTGAATAAATACAGTACTAGAACCTCGATAAATCAATAACCTCGTTTTAATAATAAATATTCCCCGATCTTGATTGTCGGACAATGTGCTAAAAACTATTTCGTTAAATTAATAGAATTTATCTTGTCCCGATTATATTAATTTATAGAGGTTAATTCTGACCCATGAAATAGTAACTTGGTGACCTAAAATTAAATTGAAGAAATTAAAATGAAGCAAATTATCCTTTAGAATCTCAAAATTACTATTGGGTGAATGGTTTTGGAGTTTAAAACGAAGATGAAAACACGAAAAATTAACGATCCTCAAGAAGGTATTAATTCGTACGTAGTTACAAATTCGGTTGTGTTTCAGGAAATAATTAATTCTTTTTACTAAACCCTTAAAAAAATAATAAAATATCAAGATTTTAAACTGCAATATTAATGCAAAAATTATAATAATAAATCATCTATATATTAACTAAATAGCTAGCTTATAATTAATTAACCAGGGCGGCAGGCACAAATAATGAATTGTCTGTATCGTGAAACAAACCAATGTTTTTTTTTTTCTTTTTCTCATCAAACCTTTTCTCCTATATCAATTAACATTACATTGATGGTCACGCGTTTTCGCAATATTGCACAGAGAGATAGAGAGAGAAAGAAGAGAGAGAAGTAGGGTTTTAAATTGTGAGTAAGCAAAAAAAAAAAAAAAAAAAAAAAAAGAGAGCTGACTTTTTGCAAAAACTAAAAGAGTAAATTAAATGCTATTTGCTGTGCTGTTTTGACTTGTTCTATAATTATAATAATAAAATAATTATAGTCTCACCCTAAACATCAACTCTGGTCTTTTCTTTATCTATATATATATTCCCCCTACACACCCCTTTTTTTGCTCAACACTCTTCTCTCTCCATTTTCTTTCTTCTCCTAAATTCTACAACAAGAAAAAAAAGAAAAAAGAAAAAAGAAAAAAGAATTACACACACACACACACACACACACACATATATATATAATAATAATAAAAATGGGAAGACCACCATGCTGTGATAAGATTGGAGTGAAGAAAGGGCCATGGACGCCAGAAGAAGATATAATCTTGGTTTCTTACATTCAAGAACATGGTCCTGGTAATTGGAGAGCTGTTCCTACTAATACAGGTATTTTTTTTATTTAAAATAAAATTATATTTAAGGAATCTTTAATTTCCATTTTATTTTTATATGTATGTTTTTTTTTTAAATTTAATTTTAGGTGGGTTGGTTAGGAACATTTAAGGCTGTAATAAATACTATCTGCACCAGCACCACTACCACTGTCTTGTTAATTGTTTGAATGCTTTTTTATTTATTTATTGATGGGCTATGAATTTAATTTTTTTTTTGTTTTTGGTGGTTTGAATAAATAGGGTTGCTTAGATGCAGCAAGAGTTGCCGGCTCCGGTGGACGAATTATCTCCGGCCGGGAATCAAGCGCGGCAACTTCACCGAGCACGAGGAGAAGATGATTATCCACCTCCAAGCTCTTCTTGGCAATCGGTATGTATATACATACACGTGTGTGTGTGTGTGTGTGTGTGTGTGTTTAATTTCCATATTAAAAAAAAACACTCTGAAATCATGCCATGCAAGAAGATCTCAACATTTTTCTTGAAAACTAGGGTTTTGATCTAATAATCAAGATTCTTTGAATTGTGTGGTGTATTTATTTTTTAAAAAAAATAGAAAATTTATATTTTGAAAAAAAATTATCAGGGTTTAATTAATTTTAGTGTACTTTTTTTTTTATTACAATTTCCCCCCTTCAAAACTAGGGTTGGATCTCATAATCAATAATCTTTTGAATTTAGTTATGTATTAGATATAGATATTTAAAATTGGTAGGGCTTTAATTACATTTTGTGTGTGTGTGTGTGTGTGTGTGAGTGGTTTTTTTTTTTCAATTACAATTTTGTTTTAATTTTTATTTTTTAATTTTTTTTAATTTTGCAGATGGGCTGCCATAGCTTCATACCTTCCCGAGAGAACCGACAACGACATCAAGAACTATTGGAACACTCACTTGAAAAAGAAGCTCGAAAAACAAAATCACCATACTCAAAATGGGAATCATAACAACTCATCATCATCCTCGTCGTCATCCGAACATTCGAAATCAAATTCGAAAGGTCAATGGGAGAGAAGGCTTCAAACGGACATTCACACGGCCAAACAAGCCCTTTGTGATGCCCTCTCCCTCGACAAATCGGGCCCCACAATCTCCCCGATCGACACAAAGCTCTTCAATGTCGTACCTCAAGTGCAAACATCTACATATGCATCGAGCACCGAAAACATAGCCCGTTTGCTCGAAAAATGGATCAAGAAACCCTCAAACGACTCCTCTCAATCCGCCTCGTCCGAGAGCACTACTCCGAGCACTTCCTTCAGTAATAATATTATAAATAATAATAATAATAATAAGAATGCTTCGGTGGGGTTGATTTCGAGTCCGAGCGAGGGGGCGGTTAGCACAACATTTCTCAGCTTCAATTCGACGAACTCCGATTTCACTCAATCGGAGTACGAGGGCAAATTCGAAAACGGGATATTCCGAGATGGGAGTAAGGATAATATTTTAGAGACACAAATGCCCTTCAGTTTGTTGGAGAAATGGCTTCTTGATGATGCTGCTGCACAGGGGCAAGATGGGGATTTCATGGACATGGACCTGGTTGGAACTGCTGATTTGTTCTGAAGCAGATTTGATTATATTTCTTAATTAATCTCTCTAGAACAACTCAGAAGTTTTAATTAATTAATTAATTATAGGGTTTATTTTATTTTAATTTTATTTAATTTGTGGTTTAATTTTGTATTTGTTTTTAGGCTTTTGTTGTGAACTGAGGATAGAATTTATGCTACATGTGTATTTACTATTTAGCCAGCTGAGGATCAGACAGAAAAGATGATCTCTTTCCTTTGTGATTGTGAGATCAGAAAGTGTAAATGTCTTTGTAGTCTATATATCTATATATAATTAGTTTATATTTTAATTTAATTTGCATATTTTGTGGATATGAATAAGCTTTTTCTTTCTTATCTTGTTTGAACTTTTTTGAGAAATCAGGATTAGGGTTTGACTTTTAATGCCTTGGAATACAGAAAAAAATTAAGACTATGTTTGGCGGCTTAATTAAATTGGCCTTGGAATTGAACTTAGTTAATTAATGCCAAGATTATTCACTTATTTTTCTTTCTTTTTTTTTTTAAATAAATGTGTGACTTCACTTTGACTTTATTTTTTTGTAACTCTGTTATCTGATTTCTTAGATTTTCCTTAGTATACTTTGAATGATTTAAACCAACTTCGAAAATTTGATCCTGTAAAAAATTCTCCTCAAATCAGCTCAATAGTACTCCACAAAAATATATATAGTGAAGATATAAAATCTGGATAAATAAAGAGGAAGAAAGGATTAGGGTTACCCTCTGCTCGAATCTTGCCCGTATCGGTCTGTCGAGACTCGTCTGTGCTAGCCTTGCCCACAATCTTGTGCCGAGCTGCTAAGACTCACTCTTGATAGCCCTAAGTCTTACCCATCCACTGCTCGTGCCAGTTGTCAAGCCACACCAGTGCCCAACCGCCGAGAACCCTTTGATGATTTCGTGGACAAGCACGCACCCCAATGTGTGCCCAATACTCAACCACCCAGTGGACAATGTGTGGCTGTCTTGTGACAACCCGACTTCGCCACACTCAAGTCATAGCCGATGTCATCGACTAATTAGGGGCTAACGTACACTAAGGAACCCTAAGCCTTAGGACGGGCCTTGTCGTCTTCAGTTTGGTGTCGACACAATTCCGGTCTATTTTTGGGCATGAGGACATTTTGGTCCTTATTATTATTATCATAACATTGAATTGATCGACAGAAAAGTCTTAAAATAAAATTTACCAGAAAAATAATAATATGTATAATCCTAATGATAGCTTAATAATGTTAAATTATAAACAAGAATAATAAAAAAGAAAAAGAAAAAAGCTTATTAAATTTCTTTTATAATTTACCTCAAAATCTCACTTTCTAGTTTTGATTCTAAATCCTCCAAGTAAAATCTCAATTCACAAATATGAAAACAATAATTTATTTTCGTTTCATACCATAGCAAACTATTCTAGACAATGATATATTTTATCATTATTATATCATTGCGTTTTATTCAGAATAAATAAAAATAAATATATAAGCATTATGTCATGAATCTTGTTTTTATCTTGATTCGATATTAATAATATATGAGTAGTTCTTAATAATTAGACTTTCTCACACATACACACGAACAATACAAAAACTCGAGTGTACCAAAAATTTTGTACGTCATTGATGAATTTCATCATACCGAAAATTTAATGAATATAAGGTTGAAGGGTACTTTTGATAGAAGTTTCAAAACTAATCACGTAATTTAACAAGAATTCGATAGTGAGAAAAATACAAATATATATTCATATATAAATATTTATATATAAAAGTAACAAAAAAAGGTAAGAAATCCTAGTGGTATATTTGTAATTTTTTTTCCTCTCCTATTTTTCTGGTTTTTTCTTTAATGACTTTCATAGCAAATCAAGTTTGCAAATGGCGCTCTAGGGGTAATGTTAATGTCATCTTTGTAATTACTTTTTTTTTTCTCTACTAATTTTGTATTATTACTTTTTTCTTTCTTTTCTCATGCAATTTATTTTTTCTTACCTTTTTTTTCTATTTCCTTTTTTTTTTGTTATTTTATTTTCTTTATCAATGACAAATGTGATTTTTTTCACTTTAATTATCAGAAGAGTAAAACAAAACCACCACTAATTTATTTTTGTAATACAATTTTACTATTATATATTTAAAATTTTCTTTCTTTTTTTGCAATGCTAATCCGGTGGGAGAATTGTTAGCACAAAACTCAAAAATCAAGAGTTATTACTATTTAAATATTTTGAATAATTCAAAAGTCAATTATACTATATTGTGGTCACATCAATTCATACAATAGTTTCAATGGTTGACCTTTGTTTTCAACATATGACAGATTTCTTAAACATAGGTAAAGGATTGAACCATCTTTTAAGGAGTGAATTAGTCAACGGTCATGAAATCACATAGGATTTTTTTTCAGACCATATCATCAACTCATTCATAAGTCAAATAACAAAATCTGCATTAAAAAATAAATAAAAAATAAATAAAAAATAATGCAATTAAACATGGTATTCTTAAATGCACATGTAAAGTGATTTGACTTTTGCCCATTTCTTGCAAGTGGACTTTCCTGCGGTTTCAATGTTGATCTTCAACCCACACCACACATCAAAAAATAAAAAAACAATTAAATTACAAAAATTCCCTAAACTTAGGATAAATAACAAAACATACCCACCTATCTGTAATTACCAATATCGTCATCTGATTAACTGTTGATCGAGTTTTTTAATAATATGTACAATCTATTATACCTTCTGTTAAATAGGTGAGAAATAAAAGAAAATATATGTAATTGTGTAAAGTCTATTCCCTGGAATTAAAAAAAAAACACCCACCTATCTGTAATAACCAATATCGCCATATGTTTAAATCTGTTGTTCGAGTTTTTTAATAAAAAAATGTGTACAGTCTATTATACCTAGTGGCGGAGCCACCCTTTGGCAAGGGTGGGCTCCAGCCCACTCTCATTTTTTAAAAATTTATACTATATATTATATCTATATATTATTAGCCCCCCAATAGTTTAATTTAGCCCACCCAAATAATTTAGTCTAGCTTATTTACCAAAAAAATTATGTTATATTAGTTGAAGTTTATAATTTGTAGTTATTTTATGCTATTTTATGTTAATGAATAAAAAAAAAATCGGGGGCGCTGCCCCCGAACCCCCGTCAATGTTAAGCCCACCCACCCATGTAATTTAGTATAGCTTATATTAGTTTAAATTTATAAATTTGTAGTTATTTTGTGCTATATTTTTATGTGAATGAATCAAAACAAAAATCGAGGGTGCTGGCCCCCCGAACCCCCGTTAATGTTAAGCCCACCCTGTCTTGAATTCCTGGCTCCGCCACTGATTATACCTTTTGTTAAATAGGAGAGAAATAAAAGAAAACATATGTAATTGTATAAAGTCTATTCCCTGGAATTAAAAAAAAAAAATCCGTGAAAAGCCACACTGTAAGGGGATTGGTGTAAGACGGAAACAAGCCTGAGGGGTTTTTTGGTAATTACAGATAGGTGGGAGTGTTTTTCGTTATTTAGAGTAAGTTCAGGGGGTTTTCGTAATTTACTCTAAATAAAATAAAGAAATCACTGTAAAGGGATAAAAGTACCACATGAATATTAACATTATCGATGATGGAATTAAATAACAATGGAGAAAAAGAATGTTTTTTTTAAATAAAAAGTTACCAGTTTGAATTATATTCAAAGGAAGTTTCCTTATTCTTTATATTGAAGAGTTGGTAATAACATTTATGATAGTGATGGATCATATAATGCATGGTGTAGTTAGGCTGGCATGGTGCATGTGTCATGAGACCCCATGTTCTCTACTAGATAGATATATGTGGAATTTAATTATATTTTTAAATAAAATGAGACAGCTACATAGATACCAACCTTTTTAATTTCATTTTAACATTTATATTAATGTAACTTTATTCATATACAGTAGAACCTCGATAAATTAATAACCTCGTCTAAATAATAATTTATTCTGGTTCCGATTCGGTGTAAATGTGCTAAATTATTAACTCGATAACTTAATATTTCGCTAAATTAATAGAATTTTTCTAATTTCGACTGTATTAATTTATAATATTAAGTGTGAATTTGGAGTTTTAAGACGCAATTAATTATTTGTATTCAACTTTATTCCAACGTTAATGGTAAGTTAGTGAAATGAGAATGAGAAGATGAAAATCCATAAATGGATAGTTTAGTCAAATAAGACTTTTTTTTTTCACCGACAAAGAAAGACTATTTTTTTTAATGATTTTGGTAATTAGTGTGCATCTACCTAGTACACGCAAATATTAGAAGAAAAAAAAAACAATTTAATCGGTGCAAGACTAGTGTTCTAAAGCATGGTTATCGGATATGAATTATATCGGGTATTGTTAAGTGTATATTTATACACTTAATTGTACCTTTTAATCGGAGCTTTTGATGTGTTTTTACGATAATTGGTGCTTAATATGGTAATTATTTGTATTTTAGGTACAAATTGAAGAATTGGCAACTTTTGGGGTGAAAACTGCAAATTCGGAGAAAAAGTGGGCCAAAAATGAAATAATCAGAATTCAGAAGATTTGAAGACCACGCGGCCGTGGTTTTAAGCTTATATTTCACACGGCCATCCGGATTGACGTAGGGGCGCAGTGAAGGAAGTTTAATTACACAAGGAAACCCGCCCTATTATATTTTTGCACCCTATTTAAAGGCCAAAAGCACACAATTAGAGGATCCGGGACCTTTTATCTTGAATCTTTTATCTTAATCTTTATTTTTCTACACGCGATCAAGAGAACGAAGACGAAGACTTGACGAATCTTCATCATAGTTCTTCCTTTATTTTTATTTCTAGATTTTTATGAACTTTAGTATTTTTATTATGCTTTTCGTTACGAACATGAGTAGCTAAGTTTTTAATCTAGGATTTTATTTGAACCCTATGTGGTAATTCGAACCTCTTTTTCTACTTTTATGCAAGTTTAATTCTTCGATTATTTCTTCTATTTTGATCTTATTTAGCGCATGAACGTAGCTAATTTATGTTGCTATTGGTTATTGTTAGAATTGATTGACAGATCGTTTTAATAATTAGAATAGGGATAGAAGAGCCTTCGAGTAGTTTTCACCGGATGAGTGTGTCAATTGCATGTATTATCGTAGACATATAGATAATACCTTAGGTAGCCGTTTACGAGACTTGTTATTTAATGCTTTATTTATACTAGGTTTGCATAGACATATAGTGAATCTTTTATGAATAATAGACTTATAATACAGCGACAG